AAGAAATTTATCGATGCCTTCACTATCTTCTAATTTATTGGAGTATAAGGTTTCAAAATAGTTTTTGATTATCTTCTGTATTTCTGAAGTGTCTGTTGTGATATTGCCTTTTTCATCCCGTATGCTAGTAATTTGAGTTCTCTCTCTTCTTCTCTTCATTAGCATGGCTAAGGGCCTGTCGATTTTGTTTATTTTTTCAAAGAACCAACTTTTAGTTTTGTCAATTTTTTAAATTGTTTCTTTTGTTTCGATTTCATTAATTTCAGCTCTGATTTTAATTATTTCTTGCCTTCTACTTCTTTTGCTGTTGTTTTGCTCTTCTTTTTCAAGGATTTTGAGATGAAGTATGAGATCATTTAATTGTTGGTTTTTTCTTTTTTTAAGGAATGAACTCCAAGCAATCAATTTTCCTCTTAGAACTGCTTTCAATGTGTCCCATAGATTCCGATATGTTGTGTCTGTGTTTTCATTTATCTCTAAGAATTTTTTAATTTCCTCCTTGATGTCTTCTATAACCCATTGATCATTCAGTAACCTATTGTTCATTCTCCAAGTGATGTATGCTTTTTCCTTCCTTCTTTTATCGTTGATTTTCAGTTTCATTCCATTATGATCAGATAAGATGCATGGTATTATCTCTACTCCTTTATATTGTCTAAGAGTTGCCCTGTGACATAATATATGATCTATTTTTGAGAAGGATCCATGTGCTGCTGAGAAAAAAGTGTAACTGCTTGATGTTGGGTGGTATACTCTATATATGTCAATTAGGTCTAGTTAATTAATTGTGTTATTGAGTTCTATAGTTTCCTTATTCAACTTTTGTTTGGAAGATCTGTCCAGTGGTGAGAGAGGTGTGTTGAAGTCTCCCATGATTATGGTATGGTGGTCTATTAGACTCTTGAACTTGAGAAGAGTTTGTTTGACGAACATAGCTGCACCATTGTTTGGGGCATAAATATTTATGATTGTTATGTCTTGTTGGTGTATGGTTCCCTTAAGCAGTATGTAGTGTCCCTCTTTATCCCTTTTGATTAACTTTGGCTTGAAATCTATTTTATTTGATATGAGTATGGACACTCCTGCTTGTTTCCGAAGTCCATATGAGTGATATGATTTTTCCCAACCTTTCACCTTCAGCCTATGTATGTCTTTTCCTATCAAATGCGTCTCCTGTAGGCAGCATATTGTTGGGTCTTGTTTTGTGATCCATTCTACTAGCCTGTGTCTCTTAATTGGTGAGTTTAAGCCATTAACATTTAGGGTTATTATTGAGATATGGGTTGTTCTTCCAGCCATATTTGTTTATTTATGTTACTAAACATGGTTTGTTTTCCTCTTTGATTATTTTCCCCCCCTTTACTGTCCTACCTCCCACTGTTGGTTTTCATTGTTATTTTCCATTTCCTCTTCCTGTAATGCTTTGGTGAGGATGTTTTGAAGAGATGGTTTTCTAGCTGCGAATTCTTTAAACTTTTGTTTATCGTGGAAGGTTTTAATTTCATCTTCCATCCTGAAGCTTAATTTCGCTGGATACACAATTCTTGGTTGGAACCCATTTTCTTTCAGTGTTTGAAATATGTTATTCCAAGATCTTCTAGCTTTCAGAGTATGTGTTGAAAGATCAGCTGTTATCCTGATTGGCTTACCCCTAAATGTAATCTGCTTCCTTTCTCTTGTAGCTTTTAAAATTCTCTCCTTATTCTGTATGTTGGGCATCTTCATTATAATGTGTCTAGGTGTGGATCTCTTATGATTTTGCACATTCGGCGTCCTGTAGGCTTCTAGGATTTGGGATTCTGTCTCATTCTTCAAGTCTGGGAAGTTTTCTCGTATTATTTCATTGAATAGACTGCTCATTCCCTTGGTTTGGAGCTCTGTACCTTCCTGTATCCCAATGACTCTTAAGTTTGGTCTCTTAATGTTATCCCATATTTCTTGGATGTTCTGCTCATGGTTTCTTAACAGTCTTGCTGAGCTGTCTATGTTCTTTTCCAGTTGAAATACTTTGTCTTCATTGTCTGATGTTCTATCTTCTAAGTGTTCTACTCTGCTGGTAGTATTCTCCATTGAGTTTTTAAGTTGGTTTATTGCTTCCTGCATTTCTAGGATTTCTGTTTGTTTGTTTTTTATAACCTCTATCTCCCTGTATAGTTGATCCTTTGCTTCCTGGATTTGTTTGCGTAATTCATTGTCGAAGTGATCTTTCATTGTCTGATTTTGCTGTCTAATGTCTTCCTTGAGACTCCAGATCATCTGAAGCATGTATATCCTGAATTCTTTATCTGACATTCCATCTGCTGCAGCTGTTACCTCTTCTAAAGTTGCGTTGACCTGCATTGCTTGTGGTCCTTTCTTTCCTTGTCTTTTCATACTGCTTGCGTATCTTTCCTGCAGGCGCGGGCGGCGGCTCTGCTCTCTCCTTATTCCAATTGGGGTGTCGTGACTACCACGCCGGCAGGTCACTGGGCCTGTTCTGGGCGCTGGCGGCGGCTCTGTTCTGCCCCTACTCCAATTGGGGTGATGAGTGTACCACGCCGGCAGGCCACCGGGCCTGATCTGCTGGTCAGTTGCAGGTTTGCCTACCCTGCAGGCGCGGGCAGCGGCTCTACTCTGCCCCTACTCCAAATGGGGTGACGTGTCTGTCATACCGGCAGGCCACTGGGCCTGTCCTGCTGGTCGGTCGCAGATCTGCCCACCTTTCGGGCACGGGTGGTGGCTCTGCTCTGCCCCTACTCCAATTGGGGTGTCGTGACTACCCCGCCTGCAGGTCGCTGGGCCTGTTCCTGGCACGGGCGGCGACTCTGCTCTGCCCCTACTCCAATTAGGGTCGTGTGTGTACCACGCCGGCAGGCTCCTGGGCCTGATCCGCTGGTCTGTCGCAGGTCTGCCTACCTTGCAGGCGCGGGCGGCGGATCTGCCCTGCCCCTCCTACCACTCCTGTGGACTCCTGGGCCTGATCTGCAGGTTGGTCACAGGTCTGCTCACCCTGCGGGCACGGGTGGCGGTTCCGCTCCGCCCCCACTCCAATTGGGTTCACGTGACCACCACACCGGCAGGGCCTGATCCGGGCGTGGGCGAAGGATCTGCTCTACCCCTACTCCAGTTGGGGTGACGTGTGTACCACGCTGGCAGGCCACTGGGCCTGACCCCCCAGTCTGTCACAGGTCTGTTTACCTTGCAAGCGCGGGCGGCGGCTCTGCCCTGCCCCTCCTACCACGCCCGTGTACCACTGGGTCGCGGGTCTGCCCACCTTGCGGGCGCGGTTGGTGGTTCCGCTCCGCCCCCTCTCCAATTGGGGTCACGCGGTCACCACGCTGGCGAGCCGCTGGGCCTGGTCCGGGTGCTGGCAGCGGCCCGGCTCCTCCCCTCTGGCTCCACGACAAATTGAGGAGACTCGGGTGTCTGTGCCTCACCCCCCCCACCAGGAGACCAACTGTTTATGTCGCCGCTGGTATTGATGAAGTTCTCTCCTCCGACGCTTTCTGATGACATCAGATCTCTGCCATGTTGGTATCCTATGCGAATGGCAGCATTTCGTTCCCCTTGCCGGGCATCCAAAGCAATGGGTGAGTCCTGACCGGCCCTCAGCAGGACCCGGACCGAGAAGCAGTTTCCGCGGGCTCCTAGCCCCGGGCCAGGGAAGTTCCGGGAGCCGGAACTCGGCCGCTCCGTGCTCGGTGTAAGCTCCTATAAGAGTAGGCTCCAAGAAGCAGTCCCCGCGGGCTCAGTTCCGGGAGCCGGAATTCGGCCGCTTAGTGCTTGGTGTATGCTCTGATAGGAGCAGGGTCCAAGAAGCAGCCTCCGCAGGCTCCGCAGCCCTGGGCCAGGGTGGTTCCGGGAGCCGGAACTCGGCCGCCCCGCGCTCGGTGTTCGCTCCGATAAGATCAGTTTCTAAGAAGCACCCAGTCACTGAACCCTAGCAATCTGTCTGCAAGCCGCAGGCGAATGGCAGCCTGAAATTACCTGTTCTATGGCTGAATGAGCTGCGGTCAGTCGAAAACAGGGATGGTGACGTCAGCTTTCCAACATGGTGGCTGCTGGCCTCCTCTGTGGTCTGACCGGTGTGGAGAACCGAGATGGACCGCTTCCTTCCCCCGTCTCGAACCCAGAATTCAGCCCTGAGTACGGTGCTTGCACGGCTGGCAGAAACTGCAGCGCTGTATCCCTGCGTCGCTATCTCCTCGTTTCCCAGCGCGCGCTGCAGACTCTAGCCGCGGGGCGATTTGCTGAATAAGCAGTGTTACCCTCCGTGCGACAAACCTCTCGCGTTTGAGTCCCCGTAGCCGATCCTCGTGCGATGGAAATCCTTCCTCCAGGTTCCGGAGCACCCCACTATTGCTGGAAATTCCTAACAAGATAGCCTTTAGCCGTCCTGACTTGTCATACTCCCACACAGTGAAGCAGCACACGGGGGCAATGCACTCCCCTCGCCGCCATCTTCCATGCTAAATGTTTTTACACGTATTTTTCCATTTATGCTTCACAGAATTCCCATGAAATAGATGCTGCCATTTTGCAGTCAGGGAAATAAGGCACAGAGATCTGTCCTTAATCAAATAACTAGTAAGTAAAGAAGTCTGGATTTGAAAAAGGTAATCTGACTTCACATTACATCCTTCTTACTCATCTTTACTGCTGGAGAGAAAGCTTACTAGTCCCTTCCAAAGAGAAAAAGTGGTTTCTGGCACTAAATTCTTAAAGACATCTAATTGTGCAGAAACATACAGAATGTCCTTTGTTGCCATATGAAGTCCTGTGTTATGCTGTAGGTAATGGACAGTCAGTGGAGGGTTTTTAGCAAGAGAGACATGACTGGATTTCCAAGGATCTAATCTAACTCATGAACAGCACTTGAAATATCTCGGGAAAGAAATGAATAGATTTTATGTCCCATAGCTAATCTTTCCTAAATCTCAGTTTACTGATTATTAACCATGATGAGATCTCTGAGTACATTTGGAAGTATCTCTGAAAGGAAAATATCACCCCAGTCTTACCCTCGAGTTGTTCGTGCAGTTACTATAAGTTGCAAAGCTTTGGCCTGAAGTCTCATGTGATGTATAATCACTACTTGCTTATTCTCTACACCACTGTACATGAATTCCATTTTGTAGGTTTCTTCCATGATCTATGAGGAAAAGATAATTAATAATCAGTAAAAATATCAGTCTGAGAGCAGTACAGACTTCTTCAGACAAACAATTTTCTTAGGTAAAATTCTGAAGTGAAATTTTTGAAAAATGTCTATGCTTTAATTCTTAACTAAGATTTTAAAGTACAAAGTAAAATCAGTATAGTGTATCTTGTGAAAAGAAAATAAATTATTTTGTCAATTGAAGAAAAAGACTTTCATCTAGTAGTAAAAGCATCTTAATTGATATGAAGATATGAAAGTTTACCTATTGATGAAATTGCAAAGCACTTCATTACCCTACACCAAATTCCCTGTGCTATGGGAACAAATAAATACCAGATGTTCTTTGACTGATGATGGGGTTATGTCCTAATTAGCTCAGGGTAAATTGAAAATATCATAAGTTAAGGCCAGGTGCAGTGGGACATGCCTATAATCTGAATAGCCTGGGAGGCTGAGGCAGGAGGACTATGAGTTCAAAGCCAGCCTCAGCAATTTAGTAAGGCCCTAAGCAACTTAATGACCCTATCTCTAAATAAAATATTAAAAAGTGCTGGGAATGTGGCTCAGTGGTTAAATTCCCCTTTGTTGAATTCCTGGCAACCCTCCCACCAAAAATAGAAAATATCATAAGTCAAAAATGCATTTAACACACCTAATCTACCAAATATCCTAGTTTAGTAACACCTACACAGTATGGTAGGGTATTGTCTGTTTACCCTCCTGATCATGTCTGACTATAGACTGCTACTACCAGTATTACAAAAGAGTATCATCCTACATGTTACTAGCTCAGGAAAATATAAAACTTCAAAATCCAAAGTAAGGTTTTCTTCTGAACACATATTATTGCAGTATCAAAAAGTCAAAAATTATAGGTGCAACATTTGTAAATCAGGGACTAACTGTATGTACTACGTACAGAAACCCAATCCCCAAGATAAGCCTTCCAAGAATGAAACATTAGGAACCATTAACAGCATGTCAGTCATCCAGACAACCTGTGCTGTCGGCATTGTCTCTCTGAGGGAGATGGGACAGAGAATAACTGTAGAAAACAATGACTATCGCCGGGTACAGTGGCACATGCCTGTAATACCAGGAGCTTGGAAGGTTGAGGCAGGAAGATACTAAATTCAAAGCCAGCCTCAGCAAAAGTGAGGCACTAAGCAATTCAGTGAGACCCTATCTCTAAATAAAATACAAAATAGGGCTGGGGATGTGGCTCAGTGGTCGAGTTGCCCCTCAGTTCAATCCTCAGTATCCCCTCTCAAAAGAAACAAAACAAAAAGTGACAATGAGCACAGATCAAGCCCAGTGTATTTAAGTTCTTGCTCAATTCTATCCAAATCAGTTATTTCTCTCCAAATGATGCTTCTCTGTCCCCTCTGTGCTTGCCTTCCTCAGAAGGATTTGGGGTCAGAGAAATGATTCTAGGCCCTCCTACAACTGAGAGTAAAACCAGTTACTTAACTACATGTTGCCTAAGTTTCCCTATGTAAAAACAAGGAACAGATAACACCAACATCGGAAAACTTCCAGTATCAAATAGGACTTGGAAAGTATTTAGCACAGGATCTGGTATACAGCAATGGATCTCTTCCTTCCAAACTATTGCTCCCTGGTCTCTACCTTCCCAACATGGCCCAGTTTTGCTTCTTGTCATTAAGTTCCATTTCCCTTCAAAACACCAAATATCAGATTTGAGAGGGAGTCTGGATCAGACTTGATATTTGAGAGATCAGGTAATAAGGGAGAAAGAAAACAGATTTGGGATATCAGCAGATTTGGGATGAATATCAAGTCCTAACTCTACTAGCTAGAGTTCTACCTTGCTAAGCCCTAACTGCCTCATCTGTAAAATGGACTAGATCCTTATTCCTATCTAATGGCATTACTATAAGGGTTAATTAAGAGAACAGGATTGAACTCATTTAGTGAACTATAATGTAATAATTAGTCACATCATTAGCGTTCTAATGGATCAATAGTTACTGGATCATAGACTCACAATCTGGAAAGCAAGACCCATAGGGGTTCACTAAGTTCCAAAACTTATGAATGAGTGGAACTGCTCAAAGCTTGAAAGACATAAACTTGAGGTAAGTAAAATTAAATGCCACTTAATGCTCTCAACTCCCCTCCCCTCTTCTTTTTTTTTTAACCAGGAATTGAACTCAGGGAATCTTAACCACTGAGCCACATCCCCGGTGCATTTTTAAAATGTTATTATTTATTTATTTATTTATTTAGGTAGTGCTGAGGATTGAACCTAGTGCCTCACGCATGCTAGGCGAGATCTACCTCTGAGCCACAACCCCAGCTCTCCCCAGCGCTTTTTATATTTTATTTAGAGACAGGATTTCACTAAGTTGCTTAGGGCCTCGATAAGTTGCTAAGGCTGGCTTTGAACTTGAAATCCTTCTGCCTTAGCCTCCCAAGCTACTGGGATTACAGGTGTGTGCCACCATGCCCGACTGTGCAGCCTTTCTTATCGCTACCTTCTATCTATCATAGCCTGAAATTACGGAGGCTATAGTAGAGGCATGGAACCATAGAAAAGCTTCTGGCTCTTCTTTGGACTAGATAATTCTTGTGAGAGAAGAAGGTCTCAACAAACTTACCTGTTTTGCTGCAGCTGAGGCCAAATCACTCTGCTTTAGATATAAAGGGGCAGCCACATTCCACAGCTTTTCTTGCAAGGCCTGTCCAGATAAATAAGAACAGAACACAGAGATCAGAAAGAATGACAAGCCAGGCGGTGGTACATTCCTGTAATCCCAATGACTTGGGAGGCTGAGGCAAGAGGATCATAAGTTCAAAGCCATCCTCACAACAGCAAGGAACTAAGCAACTCAGTGAGACTCTGTCTCTAAATAAAATACAAAATAGGGCTGGGGATGTGGCTCAGTGGTTGAGTACCCCCGAGTTCAATCCCCGGTACCAAAAACAAAAACAAAAAAAATGACAAATCAAATGATTTGTCCTTTTGCTTTGAAAATCCACCAACAGAAAGGACTTTCCATTCATTTTATTATTTAAAGTCAATAAGTTCTATTTAAAATGGAGAAAAAGGAGACCAACAGTTTGTGCTAGAGGAACTGCTTATTCGATCCAATTCCTGGCCCAAAGGCCCTGTGTTTCAGATCCATGCTTGGAATCAGAGTATAGGAGCCATGAAAGCCTCACCAGAATGTACAAACAAGCCAGCTTCCTCAGCTTCGGGCCCTCCTGTTCCCACCAAGTTAATCACTGGATTAAACTGAGCCACCTAGACCCTTCTCCCATGACTGTGGTTCTTTTTTCTTTGTTCCTTCCTCATTAGCCTTTGAAAAGCCTATGACCTTATCAATATACCCAAACTAAAATCAAGCCACTTTCCTGAATTCTTCACTTTCTCAATCTTTCTACATTCAACATCACTAAGATCAACAAATTTTACCTTCCATCTTTCTACTCACCTATAATCTCCACATGACACCAACTCTCATTTGACCTTTACTGTAGACTCTTATTGCTAAGAATCATCTTAATTACAGATGTGTAATTGAATGACACTACAGAAAACTCAGACTAAGCTTGTCCAACAGAAATACAACGTGAGCCATATATGAATTTCAAATTTTTAGTAGCCATATTTTAAAAAGTGGAATAGGTGAAATTAATTTTAAAAACAGTTTATTTAACTCAGCATATCAAAGATATTATTATTTCACCATGTAATTCTTTAAAAAATGAATTGTGATGGGATGGGTTGTGGCTCAACGGTAGAGCACTCACCTAGTATGTGCGAGGCTCTGGAATTGATCCTCAGCACCATGTAACAAATAAACAAAATAAAGGTATAAAAAACATGATTTGTGAGCCAGGCCTGGTGGTGTACACAACAGCTTGGGAGGCTGAGGCAGGAGGATCACAAGTTTAAGACCAGCCTCAGCAACTCAGTGAAGTCCTCAGCAACTTAGCAAGACCCTGTCTCAAAATAAAATACAAAAAGAGCTGGAAATGCAGCCCAGTGGTTAAGCACCCCTGGGTTCAATCCCTGGTACCAAAAAACTATTTTGTGAGATTTGTAAGAGAGTTTATGGGATTTGTTTTTTCACAGTAAGTCTAAGAAATGCAACAAGTATTTTGCACTTATATCACATCTCAGTTTGAACTAACATTTCAAGTGTTCAATACTCACATATATCTGGTAGAATCATATTGGTCAGAGGTAGATAGATCTAGACTACAGACTAAAGAAATTTCTTAAATATTTACTATAATAATTTATCATATGCATGTTTTGATACAGTCATAGCCAGAGTATAATTTTGTATACTTTTATAAGTATATATTATTATATAATAAGTATTATGTAAAGTTATAGTATAATTCTTCATAAAAATCCTCAATGGCTATAGAAATCATTTTTTTTTAATTTTTAATATTTATTTTTCAGTTTTCGGCAGACACAACATCTTTTGTTTGTATGTGATGCTGAGGATCGAACCCGGGCCGCACGCATGTTCCCCAGCCAGAAATAATTTTTTTTTAATATTTATTTTTTTGTTTTAGGTGGACACAATATCTTTATTTATTTTTCTGTGGTGCTGAGGATCGAACCCATTGCCTCGCACATGTTAGGCCAGAGCACTACCACTTGAACCACATCCCCAGCCCTTTCCCTATTATTAAACACATTCTGGTCTCAGGTTCTAGGTCTAGGCCCCTTCTCTATCCTGCCATCCCTATATACCAAGTAATCAACATAGGTTTGTGGTCCTTTTAGGGACAATATCTTCTCTTTTCCTCCCTACCTTTTGCTACTATAGAGATCTTTTTCTCCTTGTGGTTTCTGTGGGGAAGAGAGCAAATTAAGGAAAACCACCACATTTCCAAGACCCTGACTAAACACCAGATAATACCAAGGGCTTTCATACACGCTGCTTCTTAACAATTCATATCCTTAGGGTAGATCTGTTATGGGTCCTATTTTATGGTGTCTTTTTATCTTTTGCAGTACTGGGGATTAAACTGAGGCACTTTACCACCGAGCTACATCCCTAGCCCTCCTTATTTTTGCAACAGAATCTTGCTAAATTGCAGGGACTGATCTTAAAACTTGTGATCTTCCTGTCTCAATCCCCTGAGTTGCAGGGATTACAGGTGTGCACTACCCCACAAGGCTGACAGTGTTTTTGAAAAGTCAAATGACTATGCATAAGAGGATGAAGGAACTTTTTCAGATGATGGAAAAAGTTCTTCCCTATGGTAGTGTTTACATGAGTACATATACTTGGAAGAATATGTCTAGCCTAATAAGGGCTGTTTAAATCCCAATCTTCCTCAGCATATGTGCCCAACTTCACATGATTAGACACACCTTTAACAACTCTAAGTACAACAGCACAAACTTACACATGTTACAGTAGAAAATATTTTCTGATTCCCCCATTTATTCTGACTTTGGTCCAATATAATTAATCATTTTGAAGACTAAGAACATTTAGAACTAAAACCAAAACAAATTTTTATTAAGTGAGAAGGACTCCCATGAATCATAAGCCTAAATTTATAGAAAAATTCTGCTATAAAAGCTAAAAGCTACTGAACTAGTTTAACTGCTTTTTAATTCAGCAAACCTAAACAGCTTCTTGGGTATCAATTTTGTGTAATGTTATGTTTTCTGACTACTTAACATGAAATCCAGCAAGTTGGATCTTTAAAGGAAATGAAATTAACCTTTTAGTTCTGACAAAGTGGATCAACAGTCAAGAAAACAGTATTAAATTTTATGTAAATTCTGTACTGATCACACTATCTAAAATATTTAAAATTATTGGGATTCTAATTAAAATGATTATGCAATCTAATTATATAATGAAAGAATTTTCCTAAAATTTAAAAATTCAAATACTTCTATGAGTTAACATTTCTTTAATAAGAGACAAATAGAATTACACTGCAGAATACATAATTTCTCCAATGCTAAATGGTTGCATAGGACTGTAAGTTTTTCACCTATTGCCCCAAACTCTGCAAGACCACTTAAAGTGCATTCTTAGCACCACAATAAAAATAAATAAATAGTGAATCCAAACCAACCTTGATGAGAAGTAGTTGACACCGAAGATAGGCAGCAGAGAAGTCAGCTACTCCTGCCAACTCAGACTGAAGTTCTCCAAGTCTTTGCAGATCCCTATAGTACATAAAAATCCAAGCCAAACAAAAGGTAAGAATAATGCCATACATAAAGACCAAGTCAAAAACATTTTATCATTTTACATCTAGTCATTAGTTTATTGTCATTTTTCCTGGTTCTAGAGATTGAACCCAGGACCTTGCATAATGCTAGGCCAACATTCTACCAATAAGCTACTCCCCCGATCCCCTCCCCACCTTTTTTTGTTTTGTTTGAGTATCACTAAGTTGCCTAGGCTGGCTTCTAACTTAAGCTCCTCCTATTATCAGCTAAATAAGAAACAGAGATTATAGGCCTGGGCCGTCCACATGCAACTGACTGATCAGAAGTTTTTTTGTTTTAATATTTATTTATTTATTTATAATTTTAAAAGAGAGGGGGGATTTTTTAATATTTACTTTTTAGTTTTCAGCGGATACAACATCTTTATTTGTATGTGGTGCTGTGGATCGAACCCAGCGTCGCGCACATGCCAGGCAAGCGCACTAACGCTTGAGCCACATCCACAGCCCTAATATTTATTTTTTAATTGTAGTTGGGCACAATACCTTTATTTCACTTATTTATTTTTATGTGGTGCTGAGGACTGAATCCAGAGTCTCGCACGTAGGAGGTGAGTGCTCTACTGCTGAGCCACAATCCCAGCCCTGATCATAAGTTTTTAAATGACAACACCAAATGCAGGAATGGTTATAAGAAATCAATTCACTCACACTTCTATAGCAGTTTAAGCTAATAACAGGTCTACTGGAAACCAAAATTGTTTGTAAAGCCACATATATGGTAAAATATTTTTATTAGAAGCTTTGTGTTGAGAAAAGATCATAAGGGTAATATCAACAGAAATATTCTGCTTTATGCCCCATAATATTCATTTTGTATGGAGTATTAAGAGTAAAAACTCAGTTAACTACTTAATGATGCAATAGTGGCAGAACTGTTAAATAAATTATGGTACATCTAGTCAATGAAATATTCTACAGGCATTAAAATACAAATTGATAATAAGGTGTATGATCTCAACTATGTAAAAACATACATAGAAGAAAAACACAGTAAAGCAGTTTCCTGGATAGTGGTATTAGGGTGCTTTTTAGTGCCTTCTCCCAACTATACTCTATTTCCAAGGTTTTATATCAAGAACAAACATTTTTCCCTATCATAAAAAAATATTTTTAAAAAGGTATTTAAAAAGGTATTGTGGTGAAATGACTAACTGTTGGTTGTTAACCAGCTAGTCATTCTTCATTTCTTCATTACTAAATGAACCCCGATTTTATTCACAGGAACATGTCCCCAATTCTAATTCCAGGTAGAGTCTAATTCAACTAAACTAGTGAGTACAAGTCACCCCTCTGATTATGTGACCTAAGTTGCCCTCATTGGTCCAAATGAAAGGTCCAAATTCATGCTTGGAGCAAGGTGTCTCTCAGTGGACTAAGCAAGAATGCTTACAGATCTGATTGCCATTGGCACTCATACAAAAACTCCACAGGGGAGGGGGGCGGGGGAAGCCTTAGGATAAAGCCAATGCTGGGGACAAGAAAAATACAGAGACAGAAACAGAATGGGTCCTTAATGGTATTAGTAAGCTACTTGAACATACCATACCTCCAATTTCTGGTTATATGAGGCAAAGTCTTAGTCCATTGGGGCTGCTAAATCAAAACACCATAAGCTGGCTTATAAACAACAACAACAACAACAAAAATTATTTCTTACAGTTCTAGAGGATAAGGAGTCTAAGATCAAGGTGCCTGCAGACTTTCTGTCTGGTGAAGGCATCCTTCCTCATAGAAAACATCAACAAGCTTCCTTTGGCCTCTTTTACAAGAGCTCTAATCTCATGATCTAATTACCTCCCAAAGACCTTGCCTCCTCAAATCATCACCTTAGGAGGCAGGATTTTAACAAGTGAATTTTAGAGGGACATAAATATTCAGATCATAGCAAAGCATAAATAAGCACTGCAAGCTCATCTGAGATGAAGTTTTTTCTGATATTTGGAATTTAGAACATCCTAACTGGTATGTAAGTATTGACATATAGACAGCAACCATTTAAAAACATATCTGTGCCAGGTGTGGTGGCATGTACCTACAGTTTCAGATGCTCAGAAGGCTAAGTCAGGAGGATCACTTGAGCCTAGGAGTTTGGAACAACCTGGGTTGTTTTTGAGACCCCCCCCCATCTCAAAAATAAACAAGATGGGCTGGGGATGTGGCTCAACCGGTAGCACGCTTGCCTGGCATGTGTGCGGCCCGGGTTCGAGCCTCAGCACCACATACAAAGATATTGTGTCCTCCGAAAACTAAAAATAAATAAATAAATAAATATTAAAATTCTCTCTCTCTCTCTCTCTCTCTCTCTCTCTCTCTCTCTAAAAATAAAATAAACACAGTTCACACATAAAATGTTTATGCTGGGAGCTGGAATTATTGAGGATTTAAAACATTGGGTTTTTTGAATAGGTAATAAGTAAGTTATAAAATTATACCTGTAAGGTACAGAATACAAAAGATCCTACAGGATATACAATTAATTTAGTCCCCCTTCCTATACCTGTGTCATGTTGCCCTACTATACTATACACATTCTTAGTGACAAACACCATAACCAGTTTCTTTTTAATTATTCTAGACACACTGTACATCTACAAAAAGTATGTTTCTGTTCTTCTTTTTTGGTGGGAGGGGAATAAACATGTGGGTACATGTATATGTACATGTGTTAACTAACAATCCATCTCAGCATTCATAGAAATCTGTCTTATTATTTCTTGTTTGTTTTTGGTATGAGGATTAAACCCAGGTGCACTTTACTACCGAGATACATCCCTAGCCTTTTTAGTTTTTGAGACGTGGTCTCACTAAGTTGCTGAAGATCTCACTAAATTGCTGAGGCTGGCCTTGAGCTTGCAATCCTCCTGCCTCAGCCTCCCAAGTTGCCTCATTATTTTTTAATGGCATCATCAAAATTCTGCATAAAAACAGTAACTGTGGGAAATCTGAAGACTCGAGTCACTATAATTCAGGCATAAGATATCAGATTTCTTAGCAGCCTGAACAAAACTGTCTATAGTGAACTAAGTACCTTTATCTAATTTCATGCTCACTGGGCAACTTTAATGATAATTAATGATGCCTCCCACAGACTTTGATACCAGGAAGGAGATGCACTACAAGAGGCACAGAATGAACTATCTCTAGAGTGACTGTAGAAATTTGTGTCTATGGTATATATAACCTTTTGTGAGTTTAAGTGGTTTGAATTGGTCCTGAAGAACCTGCTCACAGATGGGAACTCAGCCCAATGAAAGGCAAGATGCTGGATGAGCTAACAACACCTGTGAACTGCAATTTTGGTGGCCAGCTCTTTTCTCCCTTTCATTTTTTTACGATGTCTCTCTTATAAGAGAAAGCCTGGAACAATTCCACTTCTGAAGAATTACCTCCCCAAGAAGAGTCTGCTTTCTGTTACAATTAAAGAGAACTCTGACCAGCTGATTATGTGTTAATTGACTGCCTCCAGGTATTGGGTTACTCTTCTGTCCCTGGATTATAGCAATGGTTCTCCATCACATAGAACAAGATGCAACCTAACCCAATTAGCCCTGGGAAATCTGAACTACTGTACAAAATGAAAACTTGTTAGCCCTGGGTGAAATCCTCTGTCCCAGTGTTTCCTCTCTGCACCTCTTCATGTCCATCCTCAGAAAGCCACAGTCTAGATACCCATTAGAAGACTACAAACTCTTTTATGAGAAAGGAACAAAGAGCACCTTTTGTGTGCACTGTCCTGTGCTAGGTGTTTCCTTACTTGGGCTCATTTAATCCTCACAACATGAACTGTAATTAATCCCATTTTCAATAAGCATGAAACTAAAGACAAGCATTTAAGCAGTTTGCATGAGGTCCCAGAATTAATAAGGGGCAAAAGCAGGACACAAACCCAGGTTCTCTATAAAGTCCAAAAGCTTTGTTGTTGTTAACTATATCACATTACACCTCATGTATTTATGGGCTATTAAACTTTTGATTTTTTTATGAACTATATCAAATACAGAGGAGACAAAACAGACTTAAAACCAGATACACTGAATCACTTTTCTACAGACATTATCTGGTAGAACAAAAGAGCCACTCCCAGGAATATACACTTTAGCAATTCTTAGTCCATAATGCCAATAAACAGAATTTTTAAAATATTAAAATAAAAAAAAAGTTACATGAACTGTGATTTTTAAAAGTTTACACAATAGGCTGAACTAGTCAATTTTTAAAACCACTCATAGTCAAAAAGACCCTAGATGTGCAAATCAAATGTTGTCTATGGTTATACATTTCCTTCAAACTCTGTTGATCTCTAAGCATTAAATTTACAACTTTGTCCTTTGTTGCTTGGTATAACAGCAAAGAATGTTAGAAAACACAAAGTGAGTCCTTCCTTCATCCTTCCACCTAGATGGTTACATATTACAAACATTTATTTCCCACCTCTTTAATTAGAGGACTAGGTCCCAGACTACAAAACAGGTGCTATTCCTTACACATTAACAGTTGCACAATAATAGGAAGATTTTAAAGGATGAAACCATGAACTCCATATTCTTTAGGGTTGTTTGTAAAAGAATTCCCATAATAAAATAAGTATATTTCTATTGATTACAGATACATGAATACCCATCTGTTTCAAATTAAAATGAAATGTTTTATTCCAAAAATCCAACTCTATTATGGAACACTAAAATGATATGATTCCTGAAACAATAATGTTTTTTTTTTCCAGTAACAGCTATTTTGTGGACTTCCACAAAAATCCAAACTGAGAAATCAGAGATCATTACACATCCTGAGAAACAACAGATAAATAACTGCAGAATTCCTTAAAAGACAATTCACCCTTACTCTCAGAGAACTTAAAATAGGATTATAGTTATAAAATTTGGATTGGATTTACTTGCAAAATAGCAAGAGCATGTCCAGTGTGTCAAATGA